AGTGAAATAGCATTTAATGATCATTCTTGGTCATAGGGCCATAATAATCATCAAATGCTACTTCACTCCCCTAATAAAGGTTTTTGTTTTCAGAAATAGCTGGTGTGGCACTGTGGGCTAATGCGCCAGACTGCAAAGTTGTTTGAACTGCAAGGTCAGCGGTTCAAGCTCACCAGTCACTCCTTGGAAACCCTATACAGGATCGCTCTGGGTTGGAACGGACTCAACGGCACTTAACACCAACAACAAGGTCAAAGGGCAGTAGTGCTGCAGCTCTGGAGGATAAACACTGGACTGCTAACCACAAGGTTGGTGGTTCGAGGCAACTAGCTGGTTCCCCAGATGAAAGATGAAGCTTCCTGCTCCCACAAAAATTTACAAGCTTGGAAACCCTATTCAGGGTCACTATACATTGGACTTAACAACAACAACACTAATGGTCAAATGAATGTCATCGGCTGGCACAGTTAGTCACTCAGATACTAAGGAAAGGTTGGCAGTTTGAAATCACTAAGAGACTCCGTAAAAGAAAGCGCTGGGGATCTACTTCTGAAAGGCCCCAAACACTGACTCTGCAGGTCACAGGGTCACCATGAGCTGGAACTGACTGGTTAACTTTTTTTCATGTTCTAAGGATAGCTAAGAGTTTCAGGATGATTTCAAAGGCTTTGGAGCATGCAGTGAGTCTGGTCTCCTAGACACAAAACAAACATTTTTTTCAGGGTCGGGCATGGGTTTGGGCAAGGTACACCTAGATGGATGTAGGAAGATGGCTTCAGTTTTGTTTCAGAGTTTCCACACTGAGGGCACAACTGCTAATCAAGTTCTTTATGAAGAAATGCTCTTCCTTGTAGAAGTTAATTCCTTTCTGCTAAAATATACATGAGGAGAAATGATAAGAACATAGTTTGGAAATTTTAATACTGATTTGTTACAAAAGAAGGCACCAACTATGAAAAAAGAATTCCTTAGATGCCAGTTTCAGAAACAATTTCGCCTGCAGCATCTTCCAGCTCTATAATTTAGTGGCAATAACAAACTCACAAAGGCTGTCAAAATAGCACTGTGGTTTAAAAAATAAACAAGACGGAATCAAACAATAACATCTTTCTGATTTTTAATATGTCATTTACTGAAATGGCAATCACATCTTCTGGCTAGAAAAACGAATCTTAAATTTTTTAAAGCTTTTACACATGTCACTGTGTCTAAATTACGTAGGGCAAGTATTAAGATTTTCCTCACACCAAGTCTATCCTGGTATTGCCAGCCACAAGAGACCTTTTGTATCAGTCCTCCCTTATGTCCTGATTCTTACTAGTAGTACTGGGCAGATGTATGGTAATATGGTAGCTACATCAGTCTACAGAAGTGGGGAGAAAAAACAACAATGAAAAAGACCTGCTATCTAAAAATAATGAAAGGTTCCATTTAAATTAATGTTATTTTTGACAAGTGCTCATTTTACTTTATAATAATGTAGTTCCAATCCAAATAGGCCTCTCACTAGCTTTAAAAGTTCTCTAGGTATTATATGCAGAGCAATACTTTAATTCATCTATTTTTATTTCTTCCAATGACATTTACAGTTCAGTGTGATTTGAGATTTTTAGTGCTACTGCTGATACTTTATGGAAACGGCTTTATATGGAAAGTCTGATTAGCTTTTCAAAACTCTTTAAGCTCTTGTTTACAAGAAGCACTATTGTGAGAAATAAATTTTTTGTTCTTTTAAGGTATTCATCTTCTTGCTATTTATTCCACACTTGATTTCACAATCCTGTTTGGGTCATTATGATTAGTTGCTATGGAAATTACCTCCTATGGAAATGATTCCTATGTCACTATTGTAAGAATATGATTTTAAGTAAATTATACCAATAGCAGACATCAAACCTTACATGAAAAAAGGAAATTAATTAAGAAAGAGGTTTAAAAAAAAAAAGGATGAATTCTGAAAATTATTACCATGGCCAACTTTTTTGATTATTTTTAAATCTGCCATCTGCTTTTTAAATAAGAAATGACTTTTAAGGTGTTAATCAGCTACTCACTTCCCAAAATTCCAAAGTCACAATGGAAATTAGCACCACACACAGAAAAGGGAATGTAAAGTGAGGTTCATCTCCCACTTTTCCAAATTAATAAATGCTAGGCTTCACTAATAAGGTCAGTGTCAACAGGATTTCAGGGCACATCAGGGAAACAACTTTGAAGACCACATTAAAAATGCTCTTTAAAGATGGAAGAATTTAATATTCCAAAATATAGCCCAGAAATTTCCAAGGTCAGGGCTATAAACTAGGGAGATGAACAATAGATGGGAGCCAGTGAAGCAGTAGATGAGAATTCCAGAATGCTAAGAAGAACATTTTCTTGGGTGGACTCTATAATTTGTGGCTTCAATGAAATTTTTGAAACATTCCATTACTATTACAATTCTCACAATTACTAGACAGTTTCTCCCTAAAAGAAACCTGAAGGCTTTATTCTGTTTGTTCACTGCCTGGTAGTAATTTAGAAATACACTAATGTTTCCAACAATTAGGATATTGTTTAAAAACAGACTATTGCACTCTGTTGGAGATATCACTTAGATATATATATTTTTCTATAACTAACAAGCCTATTAATAATTGATGTAAATCACTGTCACATTTACCTACATAATTACATATCATTACATCCATAATGCCTCTCAATTATGCTGCACAGCTATAGACTGTGATAAATGTTTTATACACTAAGTGGTTTCTATACTTGTGCCTGCAACCATGATCTAGGGTCCAAGATGTCTTTGATGGATTTCTGCCTTGCAGCTGGCACTGGCTTGGCTTCAGAATTGGTTTTAGAGTCTACGTGCTCACCATCACTTAAACCATGTTTTGTGGCAGAAAGCAGTTTTTGAGGAGCAGCCATTGGTTTCTGTAGGTGATGCATTAGGCTTGATAATTTGGTTTCCAAAGGTGAGGCCCGAGATACACTAGTTTTTTCCCACTTGCTCATAGCCAGTGGGTCTATGTTGGAATGTGTTTTTAAGCTGAAGGGAGGTTTATCAGAAGGAGGAAGGGGAGCTCGTCTCTTTTTCCTTTTCCCATCCTGTAACTGCTCATTTTCAGGAGATAACACCTTCTTCTGAATGACCATTTGATGATTACCATCAAAGAGTGAGGCCCAGGGAGGTGGTGAGGATTCTTCACACTGACCGATAAGGAACTGTCCATTTGTCTCTTCAATTTTCTTGTGTATTATATCAGTTAAACTTTCAAGTTTCATAGGAGAATCAATGCCTGTAATAATTTTAGGAAAAAATACATGAGAAAATAAAAAATTTGTATTCACTTCTTTAGCTAAATTATTATTTCCTAAACAAATGTGATGGCCTTTTTTGTTGTTGTTAAGTGCAGTCTAGTAGAGTCTGACTCATAATGACTCGGTACAGGGTTTTCCAAGAAACTACAGGTGAGTCTGAACTGCCAACCTTGTGCTTCAAACTGATCTTGCAGTCCAATGTTTATCCTACAGTGTCAAACCAGTAATCCATGCTAGTATAATGGTCATAAAAATTTAGATTAGCATAAGCAATGAAACATTCACTTTGAAAAACAAGTAAATACATCAACAGAAATGAAAATTAGGGTGAGATTCCACAGCTAGGTTGCTCTATCTTCTTTTCATCCTATCTATCCACCCATCCATACAACCACCCACCTACCTACCGACACACACCTAACCAGATGAGTAAGTGAAATCCAGATTTCAAAGGAATGAAGTCATATGAGTACTTCATGGTTCTACAGATTAAGTATTAGATTACTTTTCTTGGAATGAAAACCTACTCTGACTTCTAAGAAAGAGTAGATTTCCTTTTTTATAGAAGGCTGATGTAAAAATCAGGGCTACTGTAACTAGGTGAGAATTGTTTCCTGTAAGTCAACAAAGTCTCTGTTAAAAATGGGATTGGGGGAGGGGGACGAACCAAAAACAGAACACCAAGAATCAGGAAAACAGAGTGAACATGAAAAAACATACTCCCCTCCCCAAACAGACAAACAGATAAAGCTCTGATACCATTCTGCTGACAAGGGTGTGGGTTGGAATTCTGCTTGGGAACAATTAGAAAACAGAGATAAACATCTTTAATAAATGAATCATTGTATATTCGAATGTGTAAATCCAAATGTATCATTTTAAATCTAATAGTACAGGCATATTAGAAGCAAATTACCCTACAAGTCAGCAGTGAGTTGTGCTTGTTCAGAACACATTCACTAAGGCAATCTTACAAAGATAAATAAATGTCCTTCAACATGTGGAAAATGTAATATTAATGAGTCTAGAAATTTCACATTTTCTTAAGTATTAAACAATTTTATTTGGACTGAGATGAAAGCTTCCCTTCATTAATATTCATTTACCAAGATTACTTAAAAACAAATTTGATAAAATGAACAGGACTGTATTTTAGAATCTATAAGCTTACATTTTCAGAATTTTCATCAGCTTCTCAGCTAATATTTATTTCCACTGTACCCTTATTCATTTCGAAGCCTTACATTTTTTGTTTGATGTTAAGCATTCAAACTATGAAAAATGTGTATTCATTAATTTTGTATTAATTCATCTATTAAACATGAATTCCTTCATCTATAATCACAGTCTTTTTTCATTCATTTTGACTGTGCCCAGAAAATTTTAGCATTTTAATGTCATTAGAATAAGCTGCTTGAGTATGGACAATGTTGTTTTTGTTACTCTGCAGCTTACAAAGACAAACCCCACTTACTCATATCATGGTAGACTGAGGTTGCCTCTTTTGTCAAGAACAAAGGTGGTTTCCGTGGTGACATAATCTCAATTTTCATAAGTGCTTCACAACAATGCTTCCATTGGCCTAAGAAAGACAGAAAAGGCAAGCTAATTTAAAACATAAATGTAAAGATATATGTTTAATTTTCAACAGATACAAACACTTTTGGGGTGATTAGAAAAATAACAGTGAATTTATAAGGTATTGTTTAAGCAACTCTCACAAAAATCTAGTCCCAGCTATGATTCAAAGGGCAAGATAAAAATAAAAGTAATTAAAAAAAAAAAATAAGCTGTATGTATGTAGCTGTAAGATATTAAGCTTTCTAGGCTATTAAATACTCTATTTCACTAAATGGTAAAAAAAATAATTACTTTAAAATTTCTAAAATGGTTTGTTTCTCTTAAATATTCAATAAAAACATCCAGGATTTAAGACAGCTGAAAGGTAAAAATCCCCTGCAATATAATTAAAAGAAATAATACAAAAAACAAAAAGTGGTGGTTCTCAAAAATAGTTGTAACTGGAAATTTTCATTAAGAAATAAGAATGTTTATTTAACAATTACGGTCTTTAAGAAGATGATCATACTTTTCAAAATCACAAGATTCTAGAAAAACACTGTATTTTCACTTTGTGAAAGATACTCAAAGAAGCCTATCACAATAAAGACATATTACTTATTAAAATTCTAACCGAGTCTAATTTATTCTAGGAAGACTAGTTTAAAGCCATTATAGATTTAGAAGAAGAAAAAACAGTACTCTCAAACAGTTGGTTTCAACTAGTAAGTTAAACAACGATGGGGAATACAAATTTTCTTTTAAATTATGTTTACCATTTACATTTAAAAACAAAACCCTAATATTTGTTCTCTTGGTTAAGTGTTGAAAATTAATGTTTCGCATACTTATTATGTGACACATGAGAGACAGCTCCTATACTAGATATGTTGTTGTTGTTGTTGTTATGTGCCGTGGAGTTGGTTCCGACTCATAGCGACCCTGTACAGGGTTTCCGAGGCTGTAAATCTTTACGGGAGCAGAAAGCCTCATCTTTCTCCCGCGGAACAGCTGGTAGTTTTGAACTGCTGACCTTGCGGCTCGCAGCCCAATTCATAACCATTACGCTACCAGCTCCTAGTATGTGCCTATATGTAACATATTAGAAGTTATTGAGGTTCCTCAATGACCTATTTATATGAGTAGAGCAGTAAATGTAGTTTGTTCCCTTCTGAACTGACTTGTGGTCTACAATTCTGTCTTTTAAATATGTATCTCAATAGACATATTTAATATCCAACACAATTTTTCATTGTTAAGAAATTAAAGTGTTAATTTTTATGGAGTCCTGGTGTGGCACTGTAGGATAAAGCACTGGACCGCAAGGTCAGTGGTTCAAATTCACCAGTTGCTTCTTGGAAACCCTATACAGGGTCGCTATGAATTGGAACTAACTCAATGACAACAACAATTTTTAGTTAAACTATTTATTTATTTGTGCTGTTTTTAGCCTAATAATTAGTTATAGAAACATATGCATATATTTAAAATTCATCACTTTAAGGAGTAAAGAAACAACAACAAAAACCTTCTTTTATTACAATGCTAAGTGTACAATATACTTATATTAATTTATAATGAAAAATTTCAAATAGCCCACATGGCAACTCATAAAGGGAATAAAAGCCTTAATATAAGTCTTCATAGGTTGCGCTCCAGGATAGAAATTTAGCAGGATCTGAGATCTGATACCTTATTCCTTCCCTCCACTTCCTTTTTTTGACAAATATATAAAAGCTAGATTTTGCTTCATAGGGACAAAACAAAAAACCTTCATCTAATGGCAAAAGAATGACTATTTTAGACTGACAAACATTGCTCTTTCACATTCTTAGACAAATTGTACAGCATTTTCTCTCTATTGCGAGATGAGAGCTTTCATTGTTAAGGTGGTAGCAGCAGAATGCCCATCATGTTGAAATTTGGGATATTAAAGCTACAATATCCTGTGTGTTACTGAAATCAGAGGTGCAAACATGGCATGTTCATTGCATTGGTCAAGACTTCACAACTGAAACATTAATTCTGCCAGTGAATAAATGTGACAGTTGGTATGCTAACATGAAAACAAAGGCTGAGTATGAAATATTAAATGGATATATTTTGCTCACAGAATATATATTGAAGATGTTCCCACAGTACTATGTATTGTTATAATGCCCTCAGTCAAAATGATACATTGGTTAAGCTGCTAATGGGAATCAATATTTATTAAATATTTTTGGGGAAAAAAAAAAATCAATGGTCCAAATTCATTTTTCAATTTTTGTATTTTTGACCCCTCTCTCCTAATAACACCAGCACTTTAGACCAAAGAGAACAAGTGTCACTTCTCTTGTACAGACTTGTTAGTTCTCACATTGAAAATAGCTCTTAATTCCCCACCTCTCCACAATCACCACCTGTAGTTCCCTAGGCTAAAAAACCTCGTTCTCTCAGTGTGTTCTCATGATTTCTACTTATCTCACCTGCCTGGTTTCCAAATTTAAAATGGAACCGAAGACTTGAACATGATCCCAATGTTAATTAATGTTAATCGATGCTGATTCATAAAGACCCTGCATAGGGCTTTCCCAAGAATGGCTGGTGGGTTTGAACTGCCAACTCTGTGGTTAGGAGTCCACTTTTTATCCTATGTACCACACCAGGACTCCAAATAGTAATTATTATTCTTTTATTTTCCCTTTATAATCTTCGATGACTTTCTACCACAGAAGGGTAAAAGATTTTAAAATACAAGTCAATTTTTGTTGTTGTTGTTAGGTGCTGACCCATAGCGACCTTATGCACAGCAGAACGAAACACTGCCTGATCCTGGGCCAACCTCACTACTGTGTCCACGCTTGTGTCCACTGATGCTGTCACTTTGCCAATCCATCTCATTGGGGGGTCTTCCTCTTTTTCTCTGACCCTCCACTTTATCAAACATCATATCCTTCTCCAGTGACTGGTCCCTCCTGACAATATGTCCAAACTATGAGAGACGAAGTTTGGCCATCTTGGTCTCCAAGGAGCACTCTGGCTGCACTTCTTCCAACACAGATCTGTTGGTTCTTTTGGCAGCCCATGGCACTTTCAATACTCCCCTCCAACACCATAACGCAAAAGCATCAGTTCTTCTATGGTCTCCCTTATTCACTCACTGTCCAGCTTTCGCATGCATATGAGGTTATTGAAAATACCATAGCTTGGGTCAGGCACACCTTAGTCCTCAAGCTGACATCTTTGCTCTTCAACACTTTAAAAAGGTCTTGTGCAGCAGGTCTTGTGCCTAATGCAATATGTTGTTTGATTTCTTGACTGCTGCTTCCATGAGTGTTGATAGTTGATCCAAGAATGAAGTCCTTGAAAACTTCAATCTTTTCTCTGTTGATAAGAATGTTGTTTATTGGTCCAGTGGTGAGGATTTTTTCCTTTACATTGAGATGTAATCCATACCGAAGGCTGTGCTCTTTGATCTTCATCAGAAAATGTTTTAATTTTTAGGACAGTTTAAATGCTTCCATCTTTGAGTCATATCTCCAAACACACTGAATGCTAAAGTGTAAATTCCATTGTAAGGACCACTTTAGGTAGACTCTGTACTGTAAACATTAGGTTGTTGTTGTTATGTGCCGTGGAGTCGGCTCTGATTCATAGCGACCCTGTACAGGGTTTCCGAGGCTATAAATCTTTACAGGAGCAGAACGCCTCACCTTTCTCCCGTGGAACCGCTGGTAGTTTCGAACTGCTGACCTTGCAGTTGGCAGACCGACTCGTAGCCAATATGCTACCAGAGCTCCTTGTAAACATTAGGTAGATAGGTGAATTTTAGCCAAGAAGCATTAAACACTGAAGAAACAACCAGACCTGAGAATCCAATTGTTATCACTTTCTTATGACTCTCACAAAAATGTGGTAAGATTCTTATCCTTCCAAACCTCCACATTAGCATGACAAATTATTTCACACAGTGCAGAGAATGAAAGCAGGAGATCATAATCAAGTTGTAGCCTCTATTTCTAACTTCATTTATCCCCTTCCTTCCTGCTTTTATGCATATAAAATATGATAAAATACCAGAATCATTTCTAAAAATAATAGTGTTTTTGTATGACAGGTACTCTAAGTCAGAACATTTAAGAAAGGAGCTAAAATTTTTGCTGTGATCAACAAAATAAGAGAAGTGGCTATCTTATGAGTCACACATGTAAGATCCGAATATTTGTTGAATGCCTAGGGATACTTAAGGAAAACACGTTCTAGGGAATCTAGAATGCCATGGAGGGAAGCCTCTAATTCCCTGCAGTTTTCTCACCTAAAGATCCTAATTTTCTCATCCAGAAGAGTATAGACAGAATGATTCCTACCTCACAGGGTGTTATAATAAGAAATATATGAACATGGCCTAGAGTACTTGTTGTTAAGCACCAACAAAGAGATTCTGACTCAAACCAACCCTATGTACGGTTTCCAAGGATCAGTTAGCAGTCTAGTGCTAACCTTAACACCACGCCAGAACCCCGGAGTTGTTGTTGTTGTTAAGTGCCGTTGAGTCCATTCCAACCCATAGCAACCCTGTAGAGGGTTTCCAAGATGCAGCTGGTGAGCTTGAACCACCAAACTTGCAGGTCAAACTACTTTGCAGTCTGATGCATTAGCTCACAGCACCACACCAGGGCTTGTAACCCCAGAGTAGACTTATAAAAATTAACCTGACAGCTAAATGAAACCAAACCCGACCCATAGCCATTAAGTCTATTCTGACTCACAGTGACCCTTTGTAGGGTTTCTGAGACTGTAAATTGTTCTAGGAGCAGACGGTCTCATCTTTCTCTCTCGAAGAGGCTTGGTGAGTTTGAATTGTCGACCTCACAGTTAGCAGCCCATTCAGTAACCCACAGTACCTAAAGCATTTTAGAAAGGGCTCATAAGCCTTCCTAAAATGTCTATAGAGTATTTTCTATGAGTTATAGGAGTAACTTTTAGCTGTTTGGAAATGGTTGCTTTGAGTTATCAAGGTATTTCTGTACTTTGTGATTTTAAAGACAAACATTCTAATGACATAAAATACTGGTTGGACATAATAATAGATTATGATTATATTATGATTATTTGATTAGAAATAGCCATTATCAATAGCCTATATTTTCAATATGCAATTTTACATGACAAAATAAACTGTAAAGTTTATTGTCAGTACAGAAAAATAACTACTAAAATTTTATTAATTTCCTGTTGAAGTATTTCCTTAACTTGAGAAATAAAATTAGAACCTCACATACTTTACATACTGGAACATGACTGACATTGTTTTTATAATCATACCATCGGATTGTATGAAGACTGAAAAACCATATGTGCAGTTAAAACAAAACAAAACAAAAAACCCAAAAAACTCTTTGGATGATGTCCAAGATGATACTATAATGAATCTGGAGTTAACAGAAGGTTACATAAAAATGAGGCTCCTCTGAAACATTTCAACATTCAGCATCCTGAAGTTTTGTTTTTTTTTTTTACTTCTCAGATGGTTCCTTATCCCTTGGATAAAACACATTATCTAAAGCTGCGTATTTGTTGTTACTAAGTGCCTTCGAGTCAGTTTCGACTTGTCACGGCCCTGTATAGGGCTTTCTGAGGAGTGACTGGCGAGTCTGAACCGCCAACTTTGCAGTTCAGACCAACCCTGTGGTCCAGTGCTTATCCTACAGCGCCACACCAGAATCTAGTATTTTGACACAATGCTATTTGGTAGTTTTGGGGATATCACACACAGAAATAGAAGAAGCGGAAATGCTATGAATTCAAAAGAATACTCTCTCTACTACTGTTGATGTTGTTAAATGCCACTGAGTTGGTTTAGACTCACAGTGATTCTATATAGGGTTTCCTAGGAGCAGCTGGTGGGTTTGAACTGCTGACCTTATGGTTTGCAATCCAGCGCATTAACCCATAGCGCATACCAAGATTCCATACCTACTATAGTCAGTCTATATCTGGGCTGTTGTTGTTGTTAAGTGCTGTGGGGTTGTTCTGGTTCATAGTAACCCAGCATGAGGTTTTCCAAGGATTAGCTGGTGAGCTTCAACCACTGACCTTGCGGTTATAAAAGATACTGCAGCCCAGCACGCTACACTCGACTCAAGTCAGTCTACATGTGGAGGTAGCTGAGAGAGAAAAGCTCAAGTGCTCTGAGAAAAATCATCTTCAACCAAACAGTAAGTAATCCGAATTTCATATTCAGATTGCTGTGTGCATCTGTTCATACTACCTAAACATATTACCTAAAACTCCAAGCATCTACTTACAAAGATCAAAGAAATGCTGCGAGAAGGCTTCCATCCACTTCTGAAGATCTTCTCTACTGTCAGCTGAAAATATCTGTCCAGCACCATGGTTGAGGACAGAGAAATGATGGATTCTTTTCTTGGCATCCTTATCCACTGCCCGGATTCTAGTTTCCTAAAAATTCACACACAATTGCCGTTTTACAAAAGAGTACTTCTGTAATGATCAAACAAATGTTTTATTGCTTAGCAACCATATTTATACCAAGTGTAATTATAACCTTATTGCTGATCATTTGAAATTTGAAATAGCAATTTTGAGAATTTTTAATATTCAAACTAAAGTCTAGGAGGTTGTTTAAAGGAAGTATTTTATATTAAAAAAGCTGAAATAATGTATGTTACAAATAGCAGTTAAACAAATGAAATGACTTAAAACATAGCCTGTTTGATCTCAGTTCAAGTGAGAGCTTGCTGTCTTTTATACACATCTTAGAATTTGCCATAAAACAAGTACAGCATGTCAAAATTGAACTGTATGTTAACTATATTTTCAACAGTAATAATGAAAAAAAAGAATAAGTAAAGGCATGTTTCTTGTTTTAATATTCATGCATGCACTACAATATTATCCGTTTAAGTAGTAAAACCGTAACTTGAGAGTTTACTGCAACAAAACAGTTAGGCTTTCTCATTCACCTTTATTTTATATGCAACATTCATTTACAGAGCTCCTAACTAAAGCTCCATAAAGCACTATAACTCTCACATGCTAGAATTATTTTTTATATGACAAAGCACACTGTAACAAAGGCAAAAGCTTCACTCATGTTTTCTCGACCTTTTTTTCTGCGGGATACTATGTATGACACAGTGACATGTCACAATGTAGCAGAAAGAGGTCTATTTGCAAATTATACAAAGGTTCGGCACGCCATGCCACAGGAGAAGCTAGCTACCACTATAGGTTGTTGTTGTTGTTAAGTGCTGTCGAGTCAATCTTGACCCATAGCCACCTGGTGTAGGATTTCCAAAGAGCAGCTGGTGAGCTTGAACCGCCAAACTTGGAGTTCAAATGGCTTTGCAGTCTGGCGCATTAACCCACAGCGCCACACCAGGACTCCACCACTACAGGTAGTTTAGGCTAAAGAATCTTGTGGGGTGGGGGGTGGGAAGGATTTTGCTAAAACATGTTTTGTTACCTGAGTAATAATTAGTTTTACATTATTTTAGAACAGAACTGTCCAGTGGAGATGTACGAAAAGCCAAATACATATTTCAGACTTTTTGTAGTAGTTACATTAAAAAAAGTAAGAAGAAACTGGTGAAATGCAATTTAATATTTTATTCAATCCAACATACTCAAAATGTTATTTCTTAAAAAGACTAAAAAAGAATGGTTGCTTGTGTTTCACTGCAGTGTAAGCTCCTATTCAATTTCTATGTAAACTGTCAAGTAATATTGGTTATGTTCTTCACAATGTGTAAACATTCTCATCATTCCATCTCAAAGAGATACTTTTAGATTATTTTCATAAATACCTTCCAAATACACACTTAGTTGTAGTTGGTGTTAAGCACTGTAGAGTCGGGTTCTGACCCATAGAGATCTTGCAAAGGCTTCCGAGGAGCAGCTAGGTGAACTTGAACTGCAGGTATCCCGATTCAAGCAGACTTTGTAGTCTAACACAGCACCACACCAGGACTCCTACACACTTAGGAGCACATCTCAATTCAAGTTCTTAAGTGTCTAACAGCCACTTGAGACTAGTGACAACTCTACTGGACAAAGTAGTTCTAGAGGAACATGGTTATGCCTATTGCAATGCAGGCAGAAGACTATTTTGGGTAGTGGTTATAAAAGGTGACCGAGAGACTGCATGTACAATCATACACCAAGATCTACATATCACAGTTACAGTAAAACCTGCGAAAGCTGGAAACTGTGCAAGCAGAAACCTGGTAGAGAAGGAAAACGCAAATGTTTTCAGTGGACAGTGAACAGTGAGTGTAGGAAAAGCGGACGACTGCATCCTGGCAAAGGCCGGTAACTTGTGAGACCATGAAAAACAAGGCAGCCCAGTCCAGCTGTGGCTCTCACAGGTTTTCCTGTATATTGATGAGCATGTGGGTATTAGAGAAGTGTGTTATGAAGAAAAACTGTATAATCCCTGAAAGATGGGTACTTGAAGGCGAGTGGACACCACCTACACTCTATAAGAAGTTCTTTTTTGAAGGAAGAAATTTTTATTCAAAATCTCCTGGGCAAAACTGTATGCTGTATCAAGTTGTAACATAGCTTAGAATATAAGGAATGGCAGCAAGCTTAGAGACAAATGATCTATCCTGTCATTCAAGCAGTACAGGAATATGATTGTCTTCAGTGGATGATAATGGGACTTACGGGCGGCATTTCAATTTTATCATAATAGAGTTTTTTTACATTCCTATGACCTGGTAATAAACCTTGTGAATTAACGCTTGTAAGTAATTATTTGTACAATATAAAAAACGCTGCCCTAAATAGTATGCTTGGAGCCTGAAAGACACAAATAATTGCCTCTTTAAATGTATAGCTTATTATCACTAGCTGAGGATGACTTTAGCTCTAGGTAAAATCATTGCCATGCTAGTCTGTCCAACCAATTGAAAGCTGAATCCTAGTGGAGGTGTGTGTGTGGGGAAGGGGTGGGGAGAGCAACCCTCCAATGCTTTATTTCTTAACAAAGAAATATTCTTGTTACTTAAATTGTGTTTCCCTCTCAATCCATTTTAGTACAAATTTCTAACTGACTTTCTATATAGGATTAAAATGAAGTTAACAATCACGTCATGAAAATGTGACTTTTATAGATGGAAATGTGTATTTGTCATAATGGCAAGGTATTATTTCAAATGAAAACAGCTATATATAAAAAATCTGATGAACCAAATCATTCATATCCTTCAAAGACAATACAATGTAATAATATGCTTACTACTATATACTCCATTAATTCTTATAATCACACATAACTAAAATTTTAAAACAGAATTTATTAAAAGGTACAAAGAAATAAAATATAGAGTAAAACATTGCAATTAATTCTATAGTTTGTCATAATTAATAGGAAACAATTTCTTAAACTAAAAGAATGCATGACAGAAGTGGCAGTAATACATCAAAATGATGAATTCAAAGGAAAGTTTCTTTTAGGTTGCTCATTATTTGGAATTAAAATTGTATTTCACCTCTCTGTTTCTGTGAGTAGTGAAAAAATGACTAGATCAGAAGCAGATTTATGAAATGTTTCATTATTTTACTTTTGATTACATGATCTTTAAAAAAGTCTACTACTTGAAGTGAACACCCTAATACTCAGGGAATTCCTGGGTGGTGCACATGGCTTATGTGCTTTGCTGCTGACTGAAAAATTGGGGCTTTGTGTCCATCCAGAAGGGCCTCAGAAGAAAGGCCTGGCAACCTACATTAGAAACATCAGCTGCTTAAAGTCTTTCAGAGCATAGTTCTACTCTGACACATTCATGGACGGGTCCCCATGAGTCAGGATAAACTCCAAGGCAACTGATTTGATTTTTAGTTCTAGCATGCAGACTATGGTTTCTAAATATTCTTTCCTACTAAGTGAATAAGAGATCCCTGGAAAACTGTCTAATTTCCAGCCGGGATCACAAAACACATAGGATGAATCTAGAACATGTTTTCCTACCAGAAATCAAAGGTTATTAGGGTATGTCAAAGGGATTTCAGAGTCAATTTGAGCCTCCATGAACAACCGCCACTTTTGCCATGACAGGAGAAGAACTGCAGTACCTGGCTACAATTACTGAACATTTTGTTCAAAGATTTCATAGAAGAATTCTCATCAAAAGAGGGAAAATGCAGAACAGAAGTTTACAATCTTAGGATCCTATACTTTCTGGAGTCATGGAGGAAGGATGAAGCTTTGAAACTACATACAGCACTGAGATAATGTTTAAATCTTAAAACAAACTGTCTCCTGAAGTCTCTTCTTGTGGTTAAGTACTGTTGAGTCAGTTCTGACCCATAGCGACCCTATATGGATTTCCAAAGGATAGCTGGTGAGCTTGAACCACTGACCTTGAGGTTCAAACCGACTTTGCAGTCTAGCGCATTAACTCACAGTACCACACCAAGACTCTAAGAACTGTATAATAAGCTAGCTGAATTAGTAAAAACAGTCTGCCTGGAGCATTATGTGCTTTTAAGAACAATCTATGTGGGATCCAATTGACAACTTGAAGGAATAAATAGAAAGTTTAGGGGCAGTGAGTTTAAGCTAATGAGGGAGGAACAACTCCAGAAAGGAAGGTAAGAATGGTTTACACAGCTCGAAGAATGCAATCAACATAACAAAACTGTACATGAAAACGGACCGTTGAACTTGTGTATTTTTGTTGTGTGTATTCTTAACAACAACAGAAAAAGGCATCAATTTCAGGAGGCTTCCACTAGCCAAAGATGAGACCATCTGCGTCTCAATAAGGCTAACAATGGCAGTGGAGTGTTACATAACACTTTTAGATCCATAAATCCATAATGCTATTTACAAAAATAACTCATTGGTCACTTTTGAAGGAAGGGTTCTAGAGAACCACCTCACTGTTTGATAAGCAGTAACTAAACCCAACGAATCAAGCATTTATCCTATCTTTCCTACTAAGACAGGCTAATTATATCTCAGGGTAACCAAACAGCTGATGGAGTAGTGGTTTCCAGCCAAGACAAGGGAACTTAAAAAAAAACTGGAAAAATTCCATTATCTTTTAATTCCATTTTTCCACAAACTTTTTAGAGTCCCCTTGTGCATAAAGACATATTAAACTAGATTCAGTTTGCAATTCTTACTGAAATAAAAGATCTAATCAATGTTACTATCAACAAAAGACCCAGACGTACTATGTTGTCTCCTGACAAAAGCATACAATACTTTCTAAGTAGCGTTCTTACCAACTAACCTGAATCTGATTTACAAAAAAAAAACAAACCAAAAAACAAAACAACCTGAAGATGTAATTAGCAAAATCCAGACTATAGAGAACTCTTTAGGATAAATGATGCAGTTTTTAAACAAATAAATGATAAGAGAAAAAAAGAGACATGGAGGGAGACAGAGGTAGACAGGTATAGAAAGGCAGTGAGAGATTGGTGTT